AACAAAGAGAATTTTTTTTTTTTTTTTTTTTTTTAATAGCGCAAAAAAATTAAAACACCCAGCGGCGAGTACATACCACCAAAAGAAAGCTCTATTTGTGTGAAAAAAATGCGAAAAATTTCATATGGGTGCAGTGTTGCATGACTGCGCAATTGTCACTCAAATTGCGACAAACACAGCACTGAAAGTTGAAAATTGGCCTGGGCAGGAAGGGGGTATAAGTGCCTGGTAGGCAAGTTAAATGTCAGTCCCCTTCACAGCCCTACTTCCTTGCAGCCCAGTCCACTTTTTATATGAAATGATTACCCCCTGCCAATCACAACCCTCCTCTAACCTTTGATCCTACCTTACACAGCAGGTAGAAGGAATGGCATATTATATAAATAAACAGCGCAACATAGACCTCAATCCAAACCCCAATAAATCACACAATATGAGTGTCCCTTATTAAATCGTGCGTGTATATATCAAAAAATCTTCAGAAAAAAACAAAGTCCCTTGTGAAGATAGCTGAAGATTCCAAAAGATGTGTATAGCCTTCCACCTTTCACCCGTGTACACCAACATCAAATACACTCACCAGATTTTGGTGAGTGAGAAGCCTTTAAGAATTTTTAGGGAATCCTAAACCCCCTTTTCATCAGCTCACTGATAGCCTCCCCTCCAAGTTTAGATCTTCTTTCAGGTCCTCACACCGTATCCTCCTAGTTGGCTCCACCATACCGCCAAAGAGAAAGCTTATTTAGTGTAATATTGCCACAATATTATTATACCAAAAAAAACAAATCCAGGCCACTCACATTTCAATAGCTTATAACAGGCACGTTTATTAAGCCCATGACAGCCTTAAGATGACCAGCCAGCATGATTCAGGATTCCCACACCAATGCAGCCAGAGCAGAATCCAGCCTAGATCCCAAAAAATGGCAGCTGGAACGCATCGCTCAGCGTGCGCTCCACTCACCGGAAGTGACGTCAGACGTATGGCAAAACGACCGGAATTACGTCAACACGTTTCGCCCTCCCACCGGGCGTTCTCAAGAGTGGCCTGGATTTGTTTTTTTGGTACAATATTATTGTGGCAATATTACACTATATAAGCTTTCTCTTTGGCGGTATGGTGGAGCCAACTAGGAGGATACGGTGAGGACCTGAAAGAAGATCTAAACTAGCTGATTAAGAATTTTTAGGGAATCCTAAACCCCCTTTTCATCAGCTCACTGATAGCCTCCCCTCCAAGTTTAGATCTTCTTTCAGGTCCTCACCGTATCCTCCTAGTTGGCTCCACCATACCGCCAAAGAGAAAGCTTATATAGTGTAATATTGCCACAATATTATTATACCAAAAAAACAAATCCAGGCCACTCACATTTCAATAGCTTATAACAGGCACGTTTATTAAGCCCATGACAGCCTTAAGATGACCAGCCAGCATGATTCAGGATTCCCACACCAATGCAGCCAGAGCAGAATCCAGCCTAGATCCCAAAAAATGGCAGCTGGAACGCATCGCTCAGCGTGCGCTCCACTCACCGGAAGTGACGTCAGACGTATGGCAAAACGACCGGAATTACGTCAACACGTTTCGCCCTCCCACCGGGCGTTCTCAAGAGTGGCCTGGATTTGTTTTTTTGGTACAATATTATTGTGGCAATATTACACTATATAAGCTTTCTCTTTGGCGGTATGGTGGAGCCAACTAGGAGGATACGGTGAGGACCTGAAAGAAGATCTAAACTTGGAGGGGAGGCTATCAGTGAGCTGATGAAAAGGGGGTTTAGGATTCCCTAAAAATTCTTAAAGGATTCTCACTCACCAAAATCTGGTGAGTGTATTTGATGTTGGTGTACACGGGTGAAAGGTGGAAGGCTATACACATCTTTTGGAATCTTCAGCTATCTTCACAAGGGACTTTGTTTTTTCTGAAGATTTTTTGATATATACACGCACGATTTAATAAGGGACGCTCATATTGTGTGATTTATTGGGGTTTGGATTGAGGTCTATGTTGCGCCGTTTATTTATATAATTTACTGTTTGTGTTTTTACACATGTTTTGCACAGCAGCAATTTAGAAGGGTGATTTATTGTTTTTGATTGGCGCAGGAATATTTTTGTCTGGACAGAGGGTGGGGCATTCTTTTCATGATAGAAGGCAGAGGGGATTGGTTGCTAGGAATGTCTAGCAACCAGTCACCGAATTGTTAAGCTGGGTAGCTTGATTAGCACAATACATAGTATGTTAATCCTTTTTAATAATGCATATAGTTTTCTCTGTTTGGGGGGGGAAACGGAAGCCGGTACCCGTCTTGAAATACTCTGACCATGTATATTTGGCATTGGATATTCCAGGCCTTTCCCTCCAATCCCCCCCCCCCCCCCCCCAAAATAAACCCTGCAGCTCTGAGGAAGAGAGAGAGCGTGCGCTGTACTTAAAATTTTTGAGTGACATTTCATTTGAATGTCTTCATGAATCAATATCCAATAACGTATAGTTGCTGTTTTTGTATGTTACAAATCTTTTACATGAAAATTACAAAAGCCAGACCCAGCCAGGCAACTACTATTTTCAGGTCAGCAATGCTAGGTTTTCTTTTAGGACCTACAGTCAGGTCCATAAATATTGGGACATCGACACAATTCTAACATTTTTGGCTCTATACACCACCACAATGGATTTGAAATGAAACAAACAAGATGTGCTTTAACTGCAGACTGTCATCTTTAATTTGAGGGTATTTGCATCCAAATCAGGTGAACGGTGTAGGAATTACAACAGTTTGCATATGTGTCTCCCACTTGTTAAGGGACCAAAAGTAATGGGACAGAATAATAATCATAAATCAAACCTTCACTTTTTAATACTTGGTTGCAAATCCTTTGCAGTCAATTACAGCCTGAAGTCTGCAACGCATAGCCATCACCAGACGCTGGGTTTCATCCCTGCTGATGCACTGCCAGGCCTCTACTGCAACTGTCTTCGGTTCCTGCTTGTTCTTGGGGCATTTTCCCTTCAGTTTTGTCTTCAACAAGTGAAATGTATGCTCAGTCTGATTCAGGTTAGGTGATTGACTTGGCCATTGCATAACATTCCACTTCTTTCCCTTAAACTCTTTGGTTTCTTTTGCAGTCTGCTTTGAGTCATTGTCCATCTGCACTGTGAAGCAGCGTCCAATGAGTTGTGAAGCATTTGGCTGAATATGAGCAGATAATATTCCCGAAACACTTCAGAATTCATCCTGCTGCTTTTGTCAGCAGTCACATCATCAATAAATACAAGAGAACCAGTTCCATTGGCAGCCATACATGCCCACACCATGACACTACCACCACCATGCTTCACTGATGAGGTGGTATGCTTAGGATCATGAGCAGTTCCTTTCCTTCTCCATACTCTTCTCTTCCCATCACTCTGGTACAAGTTGATCTTGGTCTCATCTGTCCATAGGATGTTGTTCCAGTACGGTGAAGGCTTTTTTAGATGTCGTTTGGCAAGCTCTAATCTGGCCTTCCTGTTTTTGAGGCTCACTAATGGTTTACATCTTGTGGTGAACCCTCTGTATTCACTCTGGTGACGTTTTCTCTTGATTGTTGACTTTAACACACATACACCTACCTCCTGGAGAGTGTTCTTGATCTGGCCAACTGTTGTGAAGGGTGTGTTTTCTTCACCAGGGAAAGAATTCTTCGGTCATCCACCACAGTTGTTTTCTGTGGTCTTCCGGTTCTTTTGGTGTTGCTGAGCTCACCGGTGCGTTCCTTCTTTTTAAGAATGTTCCAAACAGTTGTTTTGGCCACGCCTAATGTTTTTGCTATCTCTCTGATGGGTTTGTTTTGTTTTTTCAGCCTAATGATGGCTTGCTTCACTGATAGTGACAGCTCTTTGGATCTCATCTTAAGAGTTGACAGCAACAGATTACAAATGCAAGTAGCACACTTGAAATGAACTCTGGACCTTTTATCTGCTCATTGTAATTGGGATAATGAGGGAATAACACACACCTGGCCATGGAACAGCTGAGAAGCCAATTGTCTCATTACTTTTGGTCCCTTAACAAGTGGGAGGCACATATGCAAACTTGTCATTCCTACACCGTTCACCTGACTTGGATGTAAATACCCTCAAATTAAAGCTGACAGTCCGCAGTTAAAGCACATCTTGTTCGTTTCATTTCAAATCCATTGTGGTGGTATACAAAGCAAAAAATGTTAGAATTGTGTTGATGTCCCAATATTTATGGACCTTGACTGTATGTGGTAATGCACGTATCAGTGTGTTGCTGTGGCATTTATTTGAATGCCACCCCAAAGCACCCTCAATGCAACACACAGCATGCAACATGTCAAAACAAGTGGCACATGTACATTTTTGCCTACATTGGCAGCCCTTCAAATTAATGGATTGCCTTTTAAAGTGTTACTAAACACACAACAGGAAAATCAGTCTGTATATGCAGTAGAGTGTGCTTGTTATACTCACTGTGGCCCCTAAGCAATTAATCCTGCACTTTGTGCAAGAAGGCTATTTAATCCTGTCTTCTCTGATCCTCCCATTCCTCTAGTGTCCTCAAACCATCTGCTGATAGTACAGAGCTCTAGCAGTACATACTAAACTGAGCATGTGCAGAGGGTTTTTTTTTTCCCTTTTGGGAGTTTTCATGTGATCAGCACAAGGCCAGTAGGCATTGTCACGGGTCGTGATGCCTCATAGGGCAATCAGATCAGAATGAAAAACTACTATTACAAGCTTTAACCTGTGCTCAGCTGGACACCGATAGAAGTCTGCTCTAACTGCTGATGAGAAAAGGTATTTAGCAGTTTACTAATATAATTGCATTTCCTTGTACTGTGGAAAACTCGATATAGTGAATGCAGGTTCCTGGATTTAGTAACACAATGTTTGGCAACACAGTGCAAATTGGTCCGTCGGGATTTTATATTGTATTCCAGGATAAACTAATTCATTTTGATGTGCTGATTTCAGTTTTGTTTACAAACAGGTGATTGATGCGGCCCAGACTATGGAAGAAGTCCACAGTGCAATTCGACAACTGAGTGAAGACATAATACAGGAAGCCAAAGATCAGCCAATTGGGAAGCTCTGGCTGGAGTCTGATACATGTGTCTAGACTGACACATTTCCTGCTCCAGAATTAATTTTTATATTTTTTTTTAATGGGAAATGTCATTTTAACCTTCCAGCACCATCCTTTCAAAAGCTTATGTTTTTAATGCATTTTTATTTAATATATATTTTTATCAGCAGCGGTTATTAACTTTTATCCACTTACCTTTTTGTTTTGTGTGAAGAATTGTGTCCAAGGATTCATGTATTTGGGTGTTACTCAAGTCAAACTGTGTACTTTTGTGTTGCTTTGACTTTGCTGACAGGCTTTGCTCTACACAATACATTTTATGGAGAAAAGCAGTTCAGATGTTCTAATATGCAAGTCTTCTGTAAACCTCTATACACAAGCAATGCAGGTATTGTATAAACTTTCCAAGCTGTATATAAAATGTATCTTTTAGGCTGTCCATGGCTTGATGTAAAAACTGTAAATGTATCAGAACAGCATTTCCTAACGCATGTTACTTGCCAAGACTTAGTGTAACAAAACCCACAACAGTAAAATCAGCCTGTATAGGCAGTAAAGCATGCTTGTTATACTCACTGTGGAACCTAGGAGGTTAATCCTCTGCATTGTGTAAAAAGGCCGTTTGATCCTCTCTTCTCTGTTCCTCCCCTTTTTCAAGGGGATCATTTATCTCCTGATAAAACAGACTGAACTGTAGCCATTCTGCACATGCACAGTTTGGTGTGTAGTGCTAGGGAGGGGTTCCCCCCCGGCAGAGTGCATGTGACCAGCACTGGTCAGACAGAGATCAGGGGTTTTGCATCGTAGACTGGAAAGAAAATTCCTCCTACAAGCTTTAGCTAGTGCTGGGCTGGACACTGATAAAAGATACAAGACTGCTCTAACTTCTGATGAGAAAAAGTATTTTAGCAGTTTATATTTACTAAAATAATTGCAGTTCTATGTACTGTGGGAGACCAGATATTGTGAATGTTGGGCTCTGGGTTTAGTAACACTTTAGAACCAGTCACCAACTGCTATCACTTTACTGGATAAATCTTAAAGGAGCGTTTTAAACCAGATAACTGAATGTCTGTCTGCTTCTGTAGAGTGATGCTGTTGGGAGGAGAGCCCTGTACTAGCAGAGCGTTGGGGAGGAGAGCCCTGTACTAGCAGAGCGTTGGGGAGGAGAGCCCTGTACTAGCAGAGCTATAGTCAGCTATGATGTTAGTTGTTTTGCTTAAATCTATACCATCCAGGTACTTTTTAACATTGCGTTTTTGTGTAAATTACATGTATAAGGATCAGTGGTAGTGATTGGAGCTAAAACAATACTGTAGCAGTGAAGATGGGTTCCTTTGGGTAGAACTCCAACAATTTTTTATTTTGGATAGTGGTATAGGAGATGGAACTGGTCTGCTTTTTATTGCTATGTCACTTATTGTGGAGGCATCCTCTCCCTTCCAGTCCCTGGTCTTGCATGTCATTGAGACAGTAAGTGAGGAAATCTTCCTGGGGCATGTCAAGCAAAAACAAAGTTTTATAGCTTACCCACAGTAAAAAAAAAAAAAAAAAACTGTTTTTTGCTTCCTATCAAGATGGCATCAAAGTAAAGGAAAGTCTTTCACTTGAGGACTCAGGCCAGCAAAAACATGACAGTATTTGGTTTTCCTCTAGTTTTGGATCGTGAAGGTTAGAATATCCACGTTATGAAAAACGGACCTAGAACTATCCAGTGCTGAATTGTAGTGTAGATTTATTATGGATGTTGACTGTATGTATTATATGTTCATATGTATAATTTTCCTGTGTAATACTTGCATGGGTAAGTGTCTATCCAAAGTGCAATCAAGTTTGTTGGCAACTCTTACTTCTGTGAATTTAAATCCAGACAACTTTTAAAATAAATATTACATTTAAACTATTGCTATCCTTCAGAACTGACATAGGTCTTGTTTACATTTTACCTGCTGAAGAGCAATCCAGAGTGGATTCTTTTTCAGAGGGTGTGATGTTTCCTCCTCGTTGGCTACTTTACTCTCAAAAGTTTCCACCACAACTGTATGCATTGCATACTGTTGCAGGAAAGTTGTGATGCTGGCTATATTAACTTGAATGGTAGTGTTTGACCCACTAACATTTAAAAATGGCCTCTCTATACCTGTGAGTTTAGGCGCTTAAAACTCAAAACGTCACAAAAGAAAATCCATGCAATAAAATGAGCACTCAGGTGCCTCTAGCTTAACTCCTGCTGTGCTATGAGCTATTGAGGCAGAATTAGGTGTTTTGGTCCCATAGACTTCAATAAGAATGCTTATATCCAGTGTCTTCAGCCTGTGAGAAGGAAGATGAGACAGGAAGGTGCGTCTAAGTGCAGTATATCCAGGTTCACTTTAATAAGAACAGGAGCAATCAGATTCCAAACTCTCCACCATGGCAAAGACGAAAGAGCTGTCCAAGGATGTCAGGGACAAGATTGTAGACCTACACAAGGCTGGACTGGGCTACAAAACTATTGCCAAGCAGTTTGGTGAGAAGGTGACAACAGTTGGTGCAATCATTTGCAAATGGAAGAAACCCAAAACAATTGTCAGTCTCCCTAGGTCTAGTGCACCATGCACGATCTCACTGTGTGGAGTGTCAATGATCATGAGAATAGTGAGGAATCATCCCAGAACTACATCTAAGGATCTGGTCACTGATCTCCAGGCAGCTGGGACCAAAGTCACCAAGATAACAATTGGTAACACACTACGCTGCCAAGGATTGAAATCCTGCAGTGCCTGCAAGGTCCCTCTGCTCAAGAAAGCACATGGCCAGGCCCAACTGAAGTTTGCCACTGACCATCTGAATGATGCAGAGGAGGACTGGTTGAAAGTGTTGTGGTCAGAAGAGACCAAAATTTAGCTTTTTGGCCTCAACTCGCTGTGTTTGGAGGAGAAATGCTGCCTATGACCCCAAGAACACCATCCCAACTGTCAAACATGGTGGTAGAAACATTCTGTTTTGGGGAATTTTTTTTCTGCTAAGGGGACAGGACAACTGCACTGCATCAAAGGGATGGACGGGGCAATGTATCGTCAAATCTTGGGTGAGAACCTTCTTCCCTCAGCCAGAGCATTGAAAATGGGTTGTGGATGGGTGTTCCAGCATGACAATGACCCAAAACATACAGGCAAAGCAACAAAGGAGTGGCTCAAGAAGAAGTACATTAAGGTCCTGCAGTGTCCTAGCCAGTCTCCAGACCTTAATCCGATTGAAAATCTGTAGAGAGAGCTGAAAGTTCGAGTTGCCAAACGTCAGCCACCAAACATTAAAAACTTGATGAGGATCTGCCAACAGGAGTGGGCCAAAATTCCTCCTGAGATGCGTGCAAACCTGGTGGCCAACTACAGGAACCGTCTGACCTCTGTGATTGCCAACAAGGGATTTGCCACCAAGTACTAAGTCATGTTTTGTGAAGGGGATCAAATACTTATTTCCCTCATGAACATGCAAATCAGTGCGTCATTTGTTAGACATGCATTTCTTTTGAATTTTGTCTTGCTATTATGTCACTCGGTGTAAAAATACACCTACCCTTCAATTTATAGACTGATCATTTCTTTGTGAGTGGGCAAATGTTCAAAATCAGCAGGGGGGTCAAATACTTATTTCCTTGACTATATGTCCAAGCCTGCAGAACTGACTTTTTGGAATGTTGTTCAGCCACCCTGGGTGGTGGCAGCTTCTGCAGTGTAAGAAAGAATTACCAGCTGTTGGTTTAGAGTAATTTTTGGCAAAAATATGGTCTTCATGACACATAAGTCTAAAAAGCTAAGGTGTTTTCATCAATCCTGGAAGTGAATGCGAGATCCATGTTATTGTTATAATGGGACACAAACTGTTGGACACTGTCCCAGATGATGCTATCATCAATGTACCAGCCATAATACTTAATGTGAGATGAGTGTGGGTTGTTATTCCAAATGTGTAGTGAATCACCATACCCCATGGTTAGGTTAGTATATAAGGGGGCAAAATTGGGTGGCATCTATTAGAAACTGGGCTTGCTTGGGATTAACGTTGGAATCTTCAGACAAAAAGGATTATAGAGCTCTAATACCAACATTGTGTGGTAGCGGTGTATATAAAGATTGTACGTCTAGGGAGACCCATAAATAGGTATGTTCCCAGGGTTACAGGGTGATTTGTTCTAGGAGATGTTGTGCGTAGGGTTGTAGAAAGATGTCTATGTAGAGTGAAAACCCACTAGTGCCACTGTTCATTGCTGCCACTATGGGTCTCCCAGGTGGCTATGTGGTATTCTTGTGTATCTTTGGTAGGTAATAGAAGTAGGGAGTGTGATAATAGTCTGATAATGAAGGAGACTTCTGTTTGAGAAATGACTTTGTCGAGACAGGCCTGGCTACCTAGATTTTTTTTTCTTTTTTTGGAATGTGGCCAATGGGTCACCTCTTAGTTTAATGTAAGTTTGTGTATCGGATAGTAAGCGTGTAGCTTCTGTAATGTAGTCTGTTCTGTTGAGGATAATTATACTACCCCCTTTTTCAGCATATTTGATGACTATATTGGTGGTGAGAGTCTGCACTGTTAGTCATTCAGGGGTGGTAAGATTCTGTTCCTTAGGTGTGGCTTTTTTTTCTTTGTAGTATTACACATTTAAACAAAAAAAAAAAAATCTGCATCAACGACGCAGTAGAAAGCTTCTATGCACAGCCCTCTTGGATTGTGTGGGATAAAAATTTGATTGAGGTTGTAGTTTAGTGTGTATCATGGGAGGGGATTGTAAAAGATGTGTGAATAAGGATAGATTTGCCTCAGGAACAATAAGTCTGGACCCTCAAGGTAAAGTTCCTGTAAGAGTTCTAAAGCTAGGGTATCATCTATGGGCTGTGGTGGAGCAATATGATCACTATCACCACCTACCACTGGCTGCCATTCCTCCACTGATGAGCCCTGCAATACATAGCCTGCAAGAACTAGTCTTGTGGTTTCCAAATGCTTGAATACACATGTAAAACACTTACAATATGCCTGGAAAAAAAGTTTGT